AACCATTCACCACTTACCACCTGTGCAATACCATCCCAACTGTGAATTGTGGTGGTAACATCGTGCTTTGGAGGTGTTTTTTAGTGGCAGGGTCTGGAAGATTGATCATGGTTGAGGGAAAACTGAGTGCAGCAAAATACAGAGATATCCTTAATGAAAACATGGTCCAGATTGCTCGGACCTCAGACTGGACTGTAGGTTTACCTTTCAACAAGACAATGACCCTAAGCATTAAGCCAAGATAATGCAAGATGCAAGAGTGGCTTAGAGACAACTCTGTGGATGTCCTTGAGTGGTCCAGCCAGAGCCAGGACTTAAACCTAATTAAACATATCTGGAGAGTTTGATTGAGATGATCTGCAGAAATGAATATCAGAAACTACCCAAATCCAGGTGTGCAAAACTTTTCACATCATACGCAAAAAGACTTGAGGCTATAATCACTGCCAAAGATATTTCAACTAAGTACTGATTTAAGGGTCTGAATACACATGTCAATATGGTTTTCCAGTTTTTATCTGTTTAATATATTTGCAATGGTTTCAAGAATCTGCTTTTTTTCATTGTCGTTATTGGGTATTCAGTGTAGATTGATGTGAAATAAAATTTAAACAAGTGTAACTTGAGGCTGCAACATTACAATTTTTTTTTATTTATTTTTTATTCATTGTATATGTGGCTATGTGTATATTATATATGTTGCCACATAACCATGGCATTGTCAATGTCATATTGCTCTCGCGTTGCAGCTATGTTGCCTCTTTGAACAGACACACACAAATAAACACACATACACAGACACTAATACATGCATGCCAAGAGTATGTGTTGCCATGATCATGTAGCAAAATATCCCGGAGTTCCCAGTTTCACATGCAAAAGAGCATAGACAAGCATTGTATTTCTGCAGATACCTTTAGCAATAGACATTTGGAACTGTGACAACTGTGATAGTTGTGGAAACATGATTTCATAAGTTTCTGTGCCCAAGAAGTACCTCTCAAAGTTCAACTTTAGATATGCAAGTGATGCATAACGGTAATTTTTGTATTTGCACGGTAGGCAGTTTTAATGTACTAGGCCTCACCACATCTTTTTGGTACCTAGCTTTATGCCTGAGAAATGTCAGTTACCAGCCAAGAACTGGAACCATGAGGAATTAGACCCACAAGGTTTAAACTGCAACTCACGGCTGGCTACAGGTCACTGATCCTTTTGGATCATAGAACATGCTTTGGTTATTAAAGGGACACTATAGTCACCAGAGCAACTACAGCTTAATGTAGTTGTTCTGGTGAATATAATCATTGCCTTCAGGCATTTTCATGTAAACACTGCCTTTTCAGGGAAAAGGCAGTGTTTACATTGCCCCTAGGGACACCTCCAAGTGGCCACTCCTTAGATGGAGGGGCTTCCTGGCTCAGGGCTGCACAGTTAGCAGCCCTGCCGTTCAGCGTCCCCACGCTCTGCATGGAGACGCTTAGTTTACCTCATAGAGATGCATTGATTCAATGCATCTCTATGAGGAGGTCCTGATTGGCCAAAATGGCATTTGGCCCTGCCCCTGTGCCAATTTCCCTATGGAAACCATTGGATTGGCTAAAAATCTGCCATTTCGATGATGTCACAAAGGGGGCAGAGTCAGCACCGGCAAACCCTTGCAGTGCTGGAAATAAGGTGAGTTTTAAACTTTTATAGGGGGGCAAGCCATCTAAATGGTAGGTTAAACACTATAGTGTCAGGAATAAATTTTTGTATTTAAAACAGTATCTATTGGTCACTAGTATTTTTTTCTAACCCCTATTTTTAATTATAAAGTGCTGTAAAATAGGAATAAACTTACTGGGAATCCAGAACTGGGTGAGGTTCTTCCATCCCCTGTCCGTCATCACTCTGCATCAATTCTTCCCTCTCCCACGTCCAATCAAACAATTCTCATAGAGAAGCATTGGAGATTGGACCAATCTCCAGGCTCACTGCGCATGTGAGTGCTTTGAGCTGAAGAGGGAGAGAGCAAATATGTGTTGGAAGTGGACAAAGAGAGGGCATTAATAAAATGCATGGACCTGGAGGGCAGGGAGGGGGCGTATAGACATGCCCTTGCTGGCAAGCTCCCAGTGCTGCCTGAAAGAGTAGAAGCTTATTACGTCTGTTGACAGACACAAAATAACGACACAGAATTTTTGCACAGAATTAACATTAGTTCTCGACTGCTTAAGTCATGTGTGATGGGTATGCAAATAACTAATGGCACAAAAGTGCCTATTTCTTTGTATGTGAAGCCTTTCAAGCACTAATGCTGCACATACAGACTCCTTGCATGGTGAACACTTTTAAAAACAGAAGTGGTCATGGAGGCTGGCATGACCCTTTAATGCCCACTGAAAACGTGATAAAGGTTCTCAGCAAGTGTCAAGGAAAATGGGAATAAATTAAAACATAAACTTTGAATTGTATTAATTAGGGAAGGAACATATAAATGTATAACATGAGTCAAGAAAAACTGCGAACTGAGGTTTACTTTAATTCTATCTATATTCACAATCTTTGTCTGGACCCACTAAAATTAAACTTTTGCACATTACTTAAAGGACCACTATAGGCACCCAGACCAGTTCAGCTTAATGAAGTGGTCTGGGTGCCAGGTCCATCTAGGATTAACCCTTTCTTCTATAAACATAGCAGTTTCAGAGAAACTGCTATGTTTACAAATGGGTTAATCCAGCCTCTAGTGGCTGTCTCATTGACAGCCGCTACAGGCGCTTCCGTGCTTCTCACTGTGATTTTCACAGTGAGAAGACGCCAGCGTCCATAGGAAAGCATTGAGAATGCTTTCCTATGGACTGGCTGAATGCGTGCGCGGCTCTTGCCGTGCATGCGCATTCAGCCGATGACGGCGATATGGAGGAGGAGAGTGCCCTGCCCGGCGCTGGAAAAAGAGGTAAATTTAACCCCTTCCACCCCCTAGAGCTCGGCAGGAGGGTGGGGGGGGACCTAGAGACCCTATAGTGCCAGGAAAACGAGTGTTTTCCTGGCACTATAGTGGTCCTTTAATGACTGATGGCTAAGACAGACCATGCACATTCATCCCCTAATCACTATGCTTAAAGTAATTTGAAAGAAAGCTAAAAAAAAAACCTAGGACAGAACATATTTGTATGTATGCTGACATCGTTATTCACAAAAGTGAGTGTTGGAAATTCAAAGTACATTTCAAATTCAGGCCAAAAAGCTGAACCGAAAACAAAGCTGATTTGGAGATTTTGTTCAGTTCAAGTATTATGACAAAAAACAGGGGTGCCCAAAAGATAAATCCGCAGATTTATTAAGAACTACAAATCCCATGATGCTTTGCATGCATTCGCATGCTTTTAAAATGACAAGGCATCATAAACATTATCATTTTAAAACATCTGGAAATCTACAGTTTAGGCACACTTAAATTTTAATTTACTCTAAATTCACTTTAGTGAAAAGCTCACACAGACTCATTTGATGCATCTGAACTCGGGGGGACAAAGTTGACAGATATGTTTATACATGTCTTTTGCAATAATGTTTAATCTATTCTATGGTATCACATTGTTTTTGAGGAACATACGGTAACAGTGATGTCACTATAAAACATATTAACACTCCTCCTTGTTACTCTATGCTACTTCTCAGGCATCTCACTTTGTTTACTAGTGTAACCTATAAATGTCCCCTTTGCCTCCTGGGATATGACGCTTACTGCTTTGAGAAATATGCCTGTAATAAATACTTCTGGATTTTATTGCAGTCAGCTATGACAATGAAGGGGTTAAAAAAAATCATTCTCTATCTTGGCTTTAGTCTTCAGAAGAATTGCACTTTCAAAACAGTATTTGTTAATCGTGTAAAAACTTGTAGTGACTAAGCCCATTATATTAAAGTGTTGGCATGCTAAACATTAAGCAAATATATAAAATATATTTTAATTAAATTTAAAAGGTTACAGTTTTTTTCTAAGATACTGTAAACAAATGAATGTATAGATGACTAATATTTTACTAGAGTAAAATATATCTCCTATACTACAGTGTGCTGATATACATATATATATATATATATATATATATATATATTCATTTATTAGGTGTCTGTTAGTCCACCCATTGTACAGTGCTACGGAATTTGCTGGCGCTATATAAATATATATATATATATATATATATATATATATATATATATATATATAAACTTAGGCAGCAGAGAAGCAAACACACAGTAATGTTTAAACTTTAAAAAAAAAAAAAAACATAGGGTCACAGTTCAAAACAAGAATTAAAACACATGCTACCACTTACAAGAAAGGGGGAAAAAACCTCTTTAATCATTCACAAATGTTGTGTGCATGTGATTTCTCAAGCACATCATTTTCAACTTTCTGTGATACTGTATATATACATAAACAAAGAAAAAATGAAATTGTATATATATATATATATATATATATATATATATACACAGACTTTTTTTCCCCCTTCTGTATCTAGTCATCCATCTCAGGAAGAGTTGGTCTTGGAAGCTGCAGATTCTTCTATCCCATCCCCCTATATTTCACCTCCCTGGCTTGCAGCTCTTCAAGAGTTAAAAGTGATTGAAGGCTCTTTGAAGATGGGATGAAAGGAATAGCTGCTGGAGACTGTTTGCTCTGATTGGTCCGGCAGTCTTCAAAGGACTCCTTTTCTTAACCAGAGGGGGGAGTCTGGCTTTAAGAAAGGAATTCAGAAATCACAGGTCCTGACAGATTGCTACTACACGGCGGCGTGGAACGTTCGCTCCAGAAAATCAACATCACGGACATTCTGTATCGAATCCAAACCGGCTTATCTACATTCGCCCAGGAAAACATCTGGATTGCTTTCTTATTTTTTAAATACGTTGGTAACCTCTGCCGTGGAAAGGAGGCTTTACATCACGTCAAGGACTCAGCCTTCAGTGATCTCCACTGATGTTTCATTAAAGCCATAACACCCCTTTGTTCTTTTGGCTTTGTCCCCAGGGGGAGTGAAAAAGGGCTTTTTGGTTTTGATTAAAAAAAAAAAAAAAAAGTTCAGAGAGAGAGAGAGAGGAGGGAGAGGGAGAAATCCTTCCAGTTCTAACTCAGTCAAGGAAGGTGTGAGCTTTTTTTCCTCCTCTTTCTCCGGTTTTTTTCCTACCCCTCTCTCTTGCTTTGGATCATGGGTTTTGTGAAACTTGGATTATTTTAACGTTTGCAGCCATGAGAGAGCCTGCCTGGCAATCTGGATTACTGGCCTTCTGATTCAAGAACTACGGAAACCGCGATTAGGAGACGATCCGGGAACCTTTAACATAAATAGATACATAAACAAGGTAAGTGTGCGAACGTAGTTGCAAACTTTTTTTTTTTTTCCTTCATGAGCTGCTGGTTCTTCTGATCTGTACGTGCACAAGGGAACATAACATGCACTGGCCCTTTAATGTGCCTTGCAAATGGATTCCAAATGCTCGAAAACAATTAAATGCCCCCTCTAGCCGCCCCCCTTTTAGCTTGCATCTGATCCTGCGGGAAGTTGGAGATTTTGCCTAGAAGTGGATCTAGTTTATTCCGCATTGCTTGCAAAAGTTCATGCTTCTATTTAGAATATTATCATCTAATGCGCTGTATTATTATTATTATTATTACTACTACTATTACTATTAATGTTTTCAAGGGGGGCGGGGTGGAACTAAAAAGGCTATCGTAATTTTTTAAAATCTCTTGCATCGTGGCATACAATACCCTTTTGATGTCTGATTTCAAATATATTTATTATTTTTAAAAACTTTACTCTCTGAAAATGGGGGTTATGCTGACCCAGACCCCATTTGGAACCTTATTAACTGTAGACATCTTGTAATCTGTGAGGTAAATCCAGTGGTATATGATAGTTGATGTTTATTATGATTATTATTGTATTATAGGGGGAGAGTTATAACTCTATTTCTCTTGACATAATTTGTGCTTTTAGTTTTAATAAGCAATAAGGTACGCATCTGGTCAATAAATTAAAATTTTTATGTATATTATCACAAGGTGAGCTTAGCATGTTTGCAGACCGTTGCTGTTGTGATTTAAAGTACAACCTGTTCTGTACACAAAATAACATTGTATCTTCTTGTTTGGAGTTGTGACATTCTGTTGACTACTGTTTGAATTCATTCATGGTAGTGACTCTTGATGCTTCCTCAGAGTACTTTACCTTTTGAAAAGTCATATTAACAATTTTTGTTTACACGGAGTAGACAGACAATATAATAAGTTAATTTAGCTAATCAACAAACCTGTTTACTGTTTGTTAAAACATGTCATATAAAGTGTTCCCCCCTTAACCCCCCCAAATCTATATTTTATTTAATTGAATGTACACTTTTTCCCAATAGACATATTGTACTTGGGGTCACAGGTGATGATCTCATTGTCTTAGGTTACTAGGAAGGATGAAGTGATTACCCAAAGCATGTGTAATCTACATCACAAGTGAGGGGTCTTGTTTTAGTTAAGGGGCACTATGGGCCTCAGGTCTGGTATTTCATCAGAATCCATGGGATCATTGTACAGTGCTTTATCCACAAATATCTGTGAACTTATACCTATAAAACTGTTTCTAACATCTGGATATATTAGACACATTTGCTGGTATGTGGATGAAGAAAGAGACTTTGGCCCACCTGTTGTGAATAATTTTCTTGAAAAACTCTACAGGGCGACAGGGTATATGGAGTAAGTCATGTTTAAAAGAAGGAAAATGGTTCCCAGATGGCCATTTACTTGTAATAGAAGCGGGTAGTTCCGGAGGAGAAGTTGTGCTGCATTCTTAAGTGGATACTTCTTCCAAAGCCTGCTTAACCCTTCTAGAGACAGAGGAAAGAGCAGCACTGTAGACCTGCAATTGAAAGGGTTAACGAGTTCCGCTAACTAATGACAGACCATGTCATCCTTGGTTATGCAGAACATTTCTTCAGTTGAATCTGTACTTCATTCATGTTACAGTATTTCCCAGTTTAAGCACAATTTAAGAGGAAAAGTAACTTAAAGGAAACCTGTAACATGATAACTATTCTCAGCAGTTCATCCATTACATGAGGTAACATTCCACCATGACAGACCTACTGTAATTCATTCTGTTTGCTCCTTCAAGGCTTCTTGCAGTAGCGTAACTGCGTTCTCCAATCTGAACCTTGGTTAGTGATGATTTTTTTGAGGGTTTTTTTAATCTTAATTTTATTTTTAGTATTTCATGAATTCTGGATTTCAAAGTATTGTGCCTTTTAAACAAACATCATGGATCTACAATGTAGTGTTGCATTCACATAATGAATGATCAATATCATAACTTTTTTGTCTTGTCATTGCAGCTCAGGTCAATTTTCAAGATTCCTTGCAGCCATGAGTTCTGCTGGGGTACTGACCTGCATCCCAGACTCTGGAAGAATTTTCAGGGAGACATCTTTGCGTCCACCAGTGCCAGGCCAAGAGACCAAAAACTACAAGGTAAGTGCTCTTGATCTGTTACAAGTGATGCTTCATATACTTGTGAATACACAGTTGTGTTTTGTGTAAGCATTCAGTTTGTGGTGTTATTTTTATGCTAAGAGTTGTATTTTACTATGGCACATAAAGGATTACTTAATAATCATACTCCCGTCTTCTGTTATAATCTTTGGAGAGCATAAGTGTCTGGTAAACTGCTCTCATGGGGCTTAATAGCCATATGTTTTTGAAAAAGAACAAAAGTTCAAAAACTTTAAAGTATGATCAACCATATAAAAAAAAAACCTCAATTTAACTTGTTTTAAAACCTTTTACAGAAGAAATTGTTAAATTTAAATTTGAAAGTTTTTTTGTACATTACTGGGTCACATCATTCAACTTCTATCCCAGAATCTCTATTATAGCAACTTTATTTTTTTTTTAAATATTTTATGATATAACCATTTCTCATGGCATACCTAACTAATGATTTTATTTTACTTTTAAGACTGAGAAATTCAACATGGATCTTCAGCATTTGGAACAACCACTAAGACCTAAGGAAGAATTTCTGCGGGAAGCAGAAGGTTGTGTTGCTCACGATACACGTTTCTCCCGATGGGGTAGATCTCTTAATCTACTGCTTGATGACCAGGATGGTGCAACTCTTTTTCGCATGTATTTGGAAGGGGAAGGGCTAGTGGATCTTTTAAGTTTCTGGTTTGCTTGCAATGGTTTCAGAGCCATGGACCCTGCAGAACCCAAGACCTCAAAGACTGCCAAAGCCATATACCGTTGGTATGTACAAAATAGTCAGGCTGTTTCAAGCCGTCTAAAACCAGCTACACGGGCCCATGTGAAGGACTGTGTGAAGAATCAGCTTCTGAATAGGACTGTATTTGACCAGGCCCAGCAGGAGATTCAGAAGGCAATGGAACAGGAAGCCTTTCCTTCTTTTCTGCAGTCTGATATATGCAAGGAATATGTTCATGTTGAAGACAGTCCTACCCCAGAATCACCTGGACCTGGACTTCCTACATTGACTGAAGATGAGGAATTTCGTGGGTTACATCATGGTTCTGCTGGCTTAGGATCTATGGCTAAAATAAACCGTGCCTTTACACGTATGCCTCCTAGAAACCAAAGGTGAGAAGTTAAAAGATCATTAACTTTCTTTGGTTTGATTCCTTTCATTTTGTCAATTTTATAGTTGGTTTTATGCCTATGTGTTCATTACGGTCAATGTTTTCTTTTACAAAGAGTTAAAAACTGTTTATTTTTCCATAAAGTATGCTGTATGTTATTTATCCTAGTCATTTTTCTTTCTTTCTTTTTCTTTGTTTCTATTTCCCCCCTCCTTGTGCTAAAGGTTAACTTAGCTGTTATTCCTTTCCCTGAGCTCACATATCTTTGATGTGAACAAAATCTTTCCCTGCTTCAGAGATCAAAGAATAACCTCCATAAAGCAGGACTGCTTTTTTTTCTCTCTCTCTCCACACTTCCCCCTCCCTCCCAAGATGCCTTGCTGTTTCAAAGCCTTCTTATCTTATAATGACTGTTTATTGCATTTCTTCTTTTTCTTTTATGGCTTATGTTGGATTAGATAGTAAAACTGGTAAGATGGTTAAAAAAGATATTTGAATTTACTTAATGCTGTCAAAATTCCATCTCCTTTACCTAGAATAAAATGAACATTTTACTATTGTCTTACTTCACCTTTTTATATGGTAATGGAAAAAACATTACTGAATAGTGTTGCCTAATGCACATAAACAAAGCTTCAAAGAAAGTCAAGAGGAAAAAAAAAGTAAAGCTTTATATTGAGGCATTAATACCAATACTGTAAACCAAACACAACTTTGTAGGGTTGAAATGGGAATTAAGTTGAATCTTACCCATTTTCTACTTAATCTGAATATGCAGAAAAAAAACAATTCTTCTCATTAAGTGAGTTAGGGTATGTATCCCTGTAATGATTACAATAAATATTTCAAACTTAAGTGGTGTATCAATTTTACAGGTTCCACACAAGGAAAACTGAAGCCACCTACCAGTACTTTGTTCCGGCAGCCAGTATCAATGATAGTGAAATCTCAAGTGATGCACTGACCGAGGACAGTATGTCCATCACAGATGGTAGTGTGTAAGTAGAAAGCAAAATATAGCTTTACATACCAGAAAATAAAAATACATTTGCAACATTAGTATCATTTTCATAACTTTGTCTTTTAAGCACAGATACATATGCTCTTATATCTCTATGTCTGTAGTGTTACGATAATTTCCCAGCATGCACATGGCCTCCATTTATTGACTGGATCTTCATTTTTTTTTTTTCTGTCCACCATATAATAACACCAATGTGTTTAACCAGGAAAGGTACATTCAGATATTCTCTGGTTTCCAAGTACGTCCTGGGAATGTTTTGCCCAACATCTATATCTTCTATATCATGTGTCTAAGTGGGGAAATGTGTGTAGACCAGTTACCTTAAGAAAATGTCATAACAGACCTTTTGATGGGCTTCCAGTTACTATAACAACTCTTCTATTGGCATGTCAACTTTGATCCAAATATAAATTTTTGGGATAGCCACAAGTATCCTGTTAATGTATGCTCATACTACAAAATTACTACTTCTAGAAGGCCATGAAAATAGCATTTATAGATCAAGTGAAAATGTCTGTCATACTTTTTGGAGAAATGACCATTCCACGTGTTTGGACATGTTGAGACATCTTTGGCAGGTGGTCTTGCAGGCCTCAATTCTTTCAACAAGTTGACTGCTAGGGGCTACAGGTCAAGAAACACGTGGCCCCTTGCTTTTTCTCTTCCTATTGTTGGAGACAATGAATGGAATTTACTGCTCACTTTGATGAAGTTGCCAAGTGCATGGTTTCCAAAAGAGATGGTGTTGATGTTTTTGCTTCTCTTAGAGCTCTACAATAAACAGAATATATTTGTTACCAATTATTAAACATGTGCCAAGTACTAAATAATATAAGCATTTTGAATGATTAAATCATTTGTCAGAACATACATTTTAGGAGGTTAATTGTTAATAGTTGCAAAACCTCAAAAGAAAAGTCTTTCTATGCATACTTTAAACATGTTGGTTATAATGTCCCATAATTTTATTTTAGAAAAGCATTCTCCTGATATTAATGATTAGTTGATTGGTTTATATTTTTACAGAGATGGAATTCCCCCATGCCGCTCCAAAAAGCAACGTGAAATCCATAGAAGCGTCAGTGCCAATGGACAAGTACATCTGCCTTTTGTGCCTGTAAGTCTAGCACAGTTAAAGTAAAGTGACAGTTTGAAGTTGTTTCTAATAGTGTTTTTGTAGCAATTTTCCTTGGGCAAATACTTTCTGGCTTTATTTACATGACTAATGTTCATGGCTCTTTCCTCAACCATTTAGGGAAGATTGATAAGCACACACATTCAAATACTATTCATATATGAACATATTCAGAGCACTGACTCCTAAACAGTATGTTAAAATTCCTTTAAATAGCATTTACCACTAGGAAACTCCCTAAGTTCCAATGGTAATTGGTCACAACTGCAAGTTCCAACCAATGGCTGATTGGGAAGTTAGAATTTTTATGAGCATTTAGTTCATTTTCTGTCCCAATGTTCTGATTCTTTGTGGCAAACTATTAAATCAAACTAATAAAAGTGGCAGATGGCCTTTTTATTAGGTGCCGATTACACCATGTTTAACCGAAAATCCCTGGACCCAGTCATGAGGAAACATAGAAACTCTCCCGTTGCCTGTGTAAATAATGAGAACACTCTCTTGTCAAAAGCATTTTACCACAAGGTATCTCCACCTACCTAAAATGTATTCTGTTGGAGGGGCTTTAAAAGGAATACTGCCACATAAGTGGTTTATGCAGATGGGGGTAACATTTTTATTAGCTATTGCATTATGGTATTTGGTGAAATATGGGTCATGGGGTATGATATTTGGTAAGTGAGAGGTGAATTATATGAATTGGGGCATACAATACTGAAATTGAGGGACAAATGATGGCATTGGAATGGATTTTGTGACATGGGACATGACTTATCTTTAAAGGGATGAAATAAGCCATGAATCATGACAGTAAATAGGTAAATGAATGGCAAATAAGGTCATGAAATTAGGCCTATAAAAATTAAATATCAAAAAACTAATTTTTCTTAAATGTACTTTTGTGGCTCCAAGTAATATATAAGAACTTTAAAATTGTAAACATTTTGCATAGATGTGTATGTGTGAGTTTACATATATGATGAATATATAATATTGATTGTGGCATATATTACATATATTCTTATCACATTGTATGTAGAAAAATGTCTGAAACACCTAATTTATTTGTAATCCATACAAATATATGTATATGAACTTACAGACAGAGCTTTCTTAACAATGTAAGAAATACTCTTGTACTTATGGCTGCCACAAATGAGTAAACAGAAATGCCTCTGCTTACTAAGAGAACAGGTACAAATAGATATTTCAACACCAGAACAAAAGGCTTTCATTTTCAGTTCCTGTCTTGTTCTTAGTGACTTTGAAACTGAAACCTGTGAACAAAGTGTTTTTTATTTAAATTTCTATTCTTGATTTTCCCCACAGAGAACGTTACGCCCACCAGCAGAAATGATGCCTGCCAACCCTGCAGAGTTTGCTGCCAAACTGACAATAGCTTTGGAAAGGGTTAAAAAGCAAAGGGATGCCGAAGAAAGATTGGAAGAAAAATTGCAGAGGTTGAAAGAGGTAAGTTAATGATTTGAGAAATACCAAAGATGGTGATAAAAGCATCTTAGAAAAAAATGAAGAATATAACACTGGTATGCACCTGGCAGTGTGACCAGCTGACAAGTTGAGGCATGTAGAATTCATAAAGCTACTGGAATAGCTTTTGGCAAAGTTCTGCCCTTAAGAAACAAGAGTAGCTTCAATTATTTTGTAATCTGCAGTTAAAGTCTTGTTTATGATACTGTAGAAAAAGCTGTAACGTTTTGAATGTGTTTGCTTTATTTAAAACAAATCATGTTCATTATGATGCAACATATAATACATTTAAACTTTGTATTATTACCCAAATGATATAATATCTTCATATAGCATAACTGTTTAATTGTGCTAGAAAAATTAAAAAAAACTATATACATGAAAAATATAGCTTTTTATTTTTAGGAATTACACATTTAGTGTTAACTTAAACTGATGTAAAAATATACAGTGATTTTTTTTTTTTATTTTAAAAAATATATAAAGTCAAACTTCATGTATCTTACTTAACAGGAAGAAGAAAAGGTGGAATATGATTTGCCTGCTACCAGCCATGAGACATTTACTACTGCTGATGATGATCCACAGTCAATCCTTGATGACCATGTATCTAGGGTTTTAAAGACCCCAGCAAACATGTCACCAAGAACACAGTCCCCTTTTGCTCAAAGAAAAGCCAAGGGTCAAGCACCAATTGTCAAATGTCAGGCTTCCAATCATTTGCGCCTGAAAGCTCCTCATGGAACAGAGGCAAATGTCCCAGCTTCTACTGAGCATAAGAGCTCCGCTAGGTATGTATTCCCAAGAGGTTGTTAAAGACTTGTTTTATTTAAACAATTAACACAGACTTAATTTCTATTTCTTCTACATTTTTTTACCTTACCTGAGTATTTTATTTTTTTATTTTATTTTTAGTTCTCAAGGTACAAGAAGCTATAGAAAAACAGATGGATGTGCGCAGTCTCATCGAATAGATGAAGGAGGGTCTTCTGCTTCGTTGACCACTCCTCTTTCACCAGAGCAAGAAGTAGAAAGAACACATAGTGTCTTACAATGGGTTCTTGAAAGCGCAAAGATTATGAAAAAGCACCATCGTGATACTAGCACAGTGTAAGTTTAATAAATAAATATCTCTGGAGAGACTTATGAGTATCTGGTTTAAGAATATCACTTTACTACAATCCTTGCACAATTTTTTATTTTTTTTTGGCTATCCCTAAATATTTCTAAAAATGTAAATATAGGAACAATGAGAATATATTCACTATTAAGGATTTAATTGTTAAGTCGAGTGTATGTACATTTTTGGGCATTCAATATGTGAATAATGTTCTGCTATCCTTGTATAGAAAGCAGCCTGTCTAAAAGAATGTAACATTCTGATTGCCATTTTTATATGTTTTTGTTAGTGTCAGCCACTGCTCTGAAACAAAGAAGACAAATCACAGAACATCATCCCAACCAGCACACCTATTCCTGCAGGACACATCCATGCCCCCGCTTAATGCACCCAATACCCTGGATCAACTAGAAGAAGCTAGGAGGCGTCTTGTAGAAGACAAACGAGCACCAAAACTTCACAAAGCCAGGTATTTAATGTGAAATATGTTTGCTTGTATTTGCAAAAGTAAGTATAGGTTTAGGAGCATAGATTTTGTCCTGTTTTTGGGATGAAGCATTACAGTGATATACAGTTGCACAGACAAATTTCATCCTAAATTCCAAGATTTAGGACTGTATTTTTGTGAACCTTGGGTTTTTGTCTTCTATTATGCAGAGGGCAACAGTTGTAATATGTTTGAATATTTATGTGCATAAGATAAATGATGTAGAAAGCATTGTAGAAGCTTAGCAGGAAGTGTACTACTTCTGTCCAAATCGTTTGATGTTTGATGAAGCTAAAAGCACTGGATCCCTGTTTTTGGATTAAGGATGGCATTGAAATACAGTAGACGTGTATGTCAAAAAAAATAAAAAAATTAATTCCACTGAATCAGTTTGTCTGAAAAGCTTTTTGGTTTGGTCGATTCAGGATTCGTCCATGTGGTGTTTCGATTCAGACAAATTTTGGCCAGGCGATTGTTTTAGGGGAAATAATTAAGATGACCCAAAATGGCATGAACATTTGCCAATCATAATGATTTATTTATTTGCACTATGGATTGTACTCCAAATCACGAAACCAACAAAGCTGCTCATTCATTGTCCGTTTCATTTGTTTCGTGATTCCTCCATATGGCGATTCGGATGGCCCACTGATCGCACAAAATTTGGACAAATTACAATTCATTTGAAACCAAATACACAAGTCTAACATACAGTCACATGATTATTCATGAACATGGGCAATTCTTATCATGGAAATGTTTGTTTTTTGTTTGTTTTTTTAATTGGTTACATTATTTTAGCCTTTGTAGCTTGTATTTAGGTTTTTTTTTTTTTTAATTGTATTGCTAATGTTTAATAGATAATTTTTACATTTTAGGTGTGCACCATTCACAGCTACTAAAGAAAAGGGCAAAGTTGGGGAAAGCATTCCATCATCTGGATTTTCCACTCTTAAGCTTTCCGAAGAGTGAGTATCTTCAGTATTTTCTCCTAACTATTGTCTCCATACTTGATTCTGCTGCCATGATATTACCAACGCATTTCATGTAGATGCTTTGGATGTTGGCTTGTGTGTTCAACATATTGGAGTAAAATTCTCATTATCCTTTAATAACCTTTATGACTTACAATGATGCTAGTGGTCAAACAATCTTAAATATTGCATATTATTGAAAGATGCCATATTATAAGCAGTTTTGATATGTAAAATACAACTATAGTTGTAATTGTTTTGAATATTTTAGCCAAGGCCTGATCAAGTGAGCTCTGCAATATGCATTCAGTTGGAGCTGGTTAATGGAGAAAGACTAAATAACTGGTAAAGCTGATAGTGGTTTCTTCAATCAATGTATGGGCAAAGGTCCACCTTTTTTATTTGTCCTCAAAGAAAAAATCGAAAAAAATCACTAATTTTCAGGATGGCATTAAGTTCCATTATAAAGTCTGTTAAGCTGTTTTGCTCTTTCATATTATAATATACATTTGTGTGTATTTATTGTAAGGTAATCTTTACTGAACCATTTTATCTTCCTTACAGGCAAAAGTCTACAAAGAAACTTAGTGGTGATAGTCAAGGGCAAGGCGGTCTAGCTATAGTCTATTACTTCTGTGGCGAAAGGATTCCTTACATGATCCGAACAAAAGAGCCTAGCTTGACTTTGCAGGAGTTCAAAGAGTTGTTGAGTAAGAAAGGAAGTTACAAGTAAGTATATTGAGGGATGAAACCAGTTTAGAATATATTCTGATGAAATTTTATTTTTTTAAGAGAAAGTGTTAATATTTCATTTCTCTTCATAGATATTACTTTAAAAAGGAGAGCCAAGAATTTGAATGCAATGCTGTTTTCCAAGAGGTCTCTGAGGAAGATGCTATACTACCATTGTTTGAAGAAAAGATCATCTGCAAAGTGGAAAGAGCATGTTAAAATGAAATGGATATTTTCTACAAGTGAGATGAAAGCTTATCGCTGCTATTTAAAGAAGTCACTTTGTGATTATGGACAATGCAGAAAAAAAAATTCTGTAAGGGTTCTCGAAGAATGTGGATGAAGTGAAAAAGAATGTCAAAGCAAAAGGGAGGAAGCTAGAAAATAATAAAATGTCCTCCAATGTCACGTCCAGCATAAAACGTTCTAATGCAGAAAGAGATGAACGACATGATAAATGTGAGGAAGGAAAGCAGTGAATTTTGAGAGTAAAAACCTTGTGACTAGGATGCTTCAACAATGGCTTTGAATACAATGGGATGAAGATTTTGCCTTGAAAGTGGTTTGCTGGAATTGGTTTGGAAGTTTATAAAAATGAACGTTGAACAAGTTTTATGTGATGCGAGTCTACCACAGCCACTAATGTGTATCATGGTACATAAAACATGCTTTATTTTGTGTATTTATAAAATCATTGGTTAAAGAATTTTTTATGGACATGTGAAATATTTCCATGCAAGATGGGAGAACTGTCGTCTATATTAAAAATCACCACTATTTATATTATGCTTAAGAAGCTGAGAGAAAGATGCTTAACTTACCATCTACAACCTCGTTATTTTGCTAAGTGTCCAGAATTTGCTTCTACTTTTAAATTTGTTGGAACCATGATGGACTTTTCGAGATTTCCCCAAATGTCCTTTTGGACTTTCGAGTGTAAAAGTTGGACACTATTTCAAACCTAGAAAAGAAAGCTCAACATCTTGTCTAAATATTTTTAATGGAATTCTTAACATAGAGAATTCTACAGAAGACCTTTTCAAGGCATGATGTCCTCTTAAAGAAAAAATAACCAAACCTGTTTCATTGGTTATCAAGCTATGCAAGAAATGGATCTATACCTATGCTGCTATCCAGACATTGCTGGTGGCGTTCTTGTCTGTCAACTTTTGAAAGACAAGAATTCACAGCCATTTTTAATTTTATGTTAATATTACTGTCTGACATTTTGACAATTACTTTCTGTGGGTTTTTTGTAGATTTCTTCTCATCTGGTTCAGTTTATATATATTCTGTGACATAGAGGTCCACTGAAGGGTTTACTTAGTAAATCAGAGGACTTGAAGTTTTCTTGTTCTGTTTTAAGAGCGGATTGCCTTTTTTATGATAAATCTAGATGACCTTTTTGGATTCAGTCTCAGACTAAAAAGGCATAATAGAACCTCAAACTTCAATTAACAGTTTAAACCTTTTGAAAGAGGTTCTTGCTAAATGAATTGGCTCTTGTGATGGCTATACTTACTCTACTCAAGCCATATTAATATAATAATGAACTCTGTTTTAAGGGTTGATGTTGTCCCTTGTTTTTTTAAAGGGTTTTCTTGCCTTCTGTACATATTGTCCTGTAATTTAAGCAATAAGTGATGGCTGGGCATTGTATTAAATAAACCTTTTTACATATTTAAGAGATTCTTTCCGGTACAGAAACATAGATAGAACTCTTAAATATATTGGCATATTACAGTGGTTAAGATAAAATTATTTAAGATTTTTAGAATTATACTTTTTTTCCAGACCCAAAGCTTGTGATAAAAGTACTAAAGAAGCTAATGCGTCTTAAACTGGCGGTTTAGCTTTTAGATGTATAGCTGCAGGTTGTGACATGTTGTTCCTACCTGGAACACCTGTTTAGGGCAATGCACTTGTAAATTTCAGTAAAAATCTGTTTATTCCTGAGTTACAACTAAGTTACATTTCTGCAATGCAATTTTGGCCTTTCTGACAATGCCTTTTGAGAATGTAATCATAATCAATCATTAAATGAGATTTATCCCAGCATAGCTCTGTTTTTCTGGGAGGTATTTCCAGTTGCCTACAGTACGTTTGTATTGCGAATATAATAGTCATCAAATGTATAATGCATTTTAAATTTTGTGTTCCAAAAGGCGTTTAGTGAGTCAATCCAACATACTTAATGGTAGAGGCATATTTTTTTTTTTTTCCCCCATTTGGGTTTTGTTTTGTACCATTATTATTATAGGGCCATTAGATTCTCAACAATTATTAGACACCACTGACCGTGAAAGACATTTTAATTATTTTTATTTATTTGCTTTCTTTCACATACCATCTTTCTTATGGTATTACCTGTACTGCTACTAAGAAGTTCTTCATATCTTGCTGAACTCCAACTACCAGTCATATTTTGTTGGTCATATTTTTCAAGACCATAACTAAGACAAAATAAAAGGAAATCTAATGTCAGCCCCCCCCCCCCTTTTTTTTTCTCTTTACAAAAGCCAGCACAGTTTTGTAGGTACATTTTGAGTGCAAAGTGTAATTTTTATGTACATTAAAAAATAACTTTAATTCATTTTAAAATATTATTTTTGATATTGTGGTTGCCAATATAATAATCTATACATGCAGTGTCTTGAAAAACTATTTATCCCACTGGACATTTTAAACATTTTGCGGTATTACAGCCTAGGATTGACATAGACTCTATTGGAATTTTGTAACTTTTGTTCTACCCCAAACGGCTAAAAAATTTAACGGTGACACAAGATATGCATAAATGAACAAACGAACAAAAACAGATCTGTTTGCTACATAAGTATTTTCTTCTGGAGTCAATTTAAGAGATTTTACAAAGTATTGGTGGCACTTTTACAACACATTTTCAGTAAATGTTTGGTGCAATATATTACTACTTTTTTTTTCTTTTTTTCTGTGCCCCCTAACCATCCTTTTTTTATCATGTGCCATTTTTTGGCAACTCGCCTCACTTTTGAGACTGAAATATGTTCTGTTTGATTTCTATTTTTTCTCTAAAAATAAATAAATCATCTGTGTACTTCTAAATATCCTTTGTAATAGGGGTTATTTAGAGTTTTGTAACAATGGAAGTGAATACTTATGCAACTAACATTTAATATTTCTTTTGTGTCACAGTAAAACAAGTTTTGCACCTTCAAAGTTTGGTTATGTTGTAATACAAATGGTAAAAATTCCTTTACAGTCCATATGAAACTGTAGTTTTATAACATTGCAGAATATGCAAACGTCCAAAGGGGACCAAGACATTGTAAACTGCTATGTCGGATTTAAAGGTGCTGAATAAGAAATACTGTTTCTTATTTTAGAAAAAAAAAGAATTATATAATCTAGAAATCTAGATATATTTTTTTTTTTTTCTTCTTTTTCAGATTTTTGTCTTTCCTACAGCAGTGAATGTTTTTGGTTGCCCTTATTTCCACATTTTATACAGTAATGCGTATTTTTATATCTAGATATATACACATGTATAAATATAAATAATTGTTTATATATTTCAGAGTGATAAGATGTAAAAATTTTAAACATTTTGCTATTCAAATTTGTAAAAACGTTGAAATAAATTTTTTTATATTTTTTGAAACTTTTTTTTTTTTTATTGAAAAGTACCTTAGTAATGTAAAAATCACCTATGATACTAAAGGTAATTAAATCTAAGGAGTGGTGCACCATCTAAAACAAATGTTGTTCAGATAAGCAATATAAAGTTCCTCATATTCCTAAAGTCTTAACCCTTGCCTCAGCAGTGTAAGACATGAAAATCCCAAAACAAAAGAGGATTATCAGAGCTACTTCTTTAAAATCCCCTTTGTCAATTTATAAAGGTCCAAGGCCATACCATACATTTCAAATGGAGATCTGATGATAATTCCAATCAATTTTGTTTCAGTGGCTGTGAAAAAAATAGTCGTTTAAGAGGTTTAGAGGGACATTATAGGCACCCAGATCACTGCACCTCATTGAAGTGGTCTGGATGCAGTGCTCATATCCCCTTAACCCTGTAATTCTAATTATTGAGAAACTGCAATAAATACCTTGCAGGGTTAACTCCACCTTTGTCTTCCAGACATCCACTAGAGGCGCTTCTGGGTACTTAGCACACTTTTGGTTCGCTAACAGATGCTGGAAGCCCTCGTGCTTTGCATAGCATTTGTTGCATTTCCCAATAGGAAAGCATTAAGTCAATATACAACTTTGTATTCCTAGGACTGTAGTTTCCTTTTAAGATTTTAACATGAGGAGAATATAGCTCTAATTAAAGCCAATTTAGAACATCCTGAAATTCTCTTTGCTCCTTCAGAAGAAAGAGTCTAAAAAATGCAGTATGGTAAGGGAGGGATAGTGTGTGCAGTACAAGTCATCAGAAGTATACCATCAACTAAACAACTGTAAGCCTGAGGTAAAAAAAAAAAAAGTGTTTTCTGAGGAAAAGGAGAGAATTTTTGCAGACATTATATTATTCTCAAATTTAGTAACTCTGAGATTATCACATACAGCCTAGCAACCGAGACTCACTCTACTATCATGTGGCATCAACATGGAGCAGTTTAAAATTATTGGCCCACAGCCATTTGTAGACCCTAACCACTTTCTTGCAGTTAGCTAGAAGTTTGACCATCTATGGAGCTGCAGTTCGCCATCTATGAGAGCTTTGTTTTGAATTAAAATGGGACCAGGGTTGCTTGGACGCTTACAAGTCTATTTATGAAACTTTATATTTTTGCTAATTAATTCCGAATGGCAAAACGGGGGGAAGGGGGGGGGAATAATCTGGAAAAAATCTCCAACTCTGCTATAATCACAGATTTGCTATTTTACCTCAGATTTGCCATTTGTAATTAAATCAGAACAAGGCAGGATTTAGTTCAAAACTGTTAGTGATCCTTAATGAGACATTGTCTAAAAGAGATGATGAAAGGTGTTAAAAACAAAACACCACCACATTAAAGGCAGCACTATGATAATGCATATTATAAAACAGATCAAACAACTCTAAAAAGTAAAATATAATCTCAAACTTGACACTTGTTGAGTGTTGCACAAAAAATATAATTTCAAAAGTTGGCATGGAGAGTGGTGTCAAAATGGAGGCAATACACCTGCCTGGTACTAAATGTGACTTCTAGAGGCTTTTATTCAATTTAATTTTTAGTTCGTCATTAACAAGGATTTCTATCATAAGAGATGTGGAGCTGGAAAATAGTGGCCTTGTGAGATGTCTTCTTGGAACTACTGGTCACAGAGACAGGAGAAGTATTTGTAATATTGTTAAGCGAGCAAAGCAGTTAGGGGAAGTAGGTGTACTTGTCCATCTGGGGACAAATTACTTGGTTTGCAATGAGGCTTCAAAGGTAAAGGAAGTTTTTTTCTGTTTTTGCCAATGATCGATGGCAGGTTGCTTCCATACTGTCATTTTCTGAAGTTCTGCCTGTGCATAACATTCAGAAGGACAGGCGGATGCGTATTAGAGACTTTAACTTGTGGCTTGGTGAATGGTGTCAGGAGCAAGGATTTGGCTTCATTTCTCATGGTAGCTCTGTTTGGAATGAAAATAAAGTGTACAAAATAGATGGTTTGCATCTTTCTCAAAAGGGAACAAATGTTCTCAGTGAGCAGTTCAGAGGTGTTGCTAGGATGGATTTAAACTAGGAGGGGGGCAAAAGGGTGATAAAACATCAATCCAATTGTCCCCCAAAACAAGGACAGAAGGTGTCTGTAGGAAGTGTTAAAAAATAGTAAGCTTAGAGTCACGTCTACAAATGCGTGCAGTGTAGGGAATAAGCTCCATGAACATGTGGCAATAACGGCAATGGATAATGTAGATTTAGTCGCTGTTACTGAGACATGGTATAATGAGAAAAAATGACTGGCATATAGCAATAACATGGTACTCTTTATACAGAAAAGACAGGGAAGGCAAGAAAGGGGGAGGGGTGGCCTTGTATGTGAAGGAGAGCATAAAATCTAGCTTAATAAAAGTTAGTGAGGCGAACATAGAGTCCGTTTGTGTTACGTTAGAATTTGGTAATCACACAGTAACTCATGTAGGTGTGATTTATAGGCCACCAGGACAAATAGAAGAGTTAGATAATCTACTAGTTGAGGAAATAGCTAAAATGACAATGAAGGGGAAAGTGATAATCATGTGTGACTTTCATCTACCTGATGTGAACTGGAAAACCAAAATAGCTGCTTGTGCCAGGAGCACACATATTCTAAACTCCTTACTGCGATTGTCTCTAAAACAAGTCCTTGAGGAGCCAACTCATTAAGAGGCTATACTAGATTTAGTGTTAACAAATGGAGATTTCACAGGGTAAGGGGGGAGGGAGGGGAACAGACCGGGGTCGAGTTTAAGGAACAGTAGACACAACTCTGGAAATGTCGATGGAACACTAAAGAAGAGGAAGGATGAGTAAGCGCAGAGATGGGGGATCGGGAAATGACCGTAATATGTGATGTATAATTGAAATGCTATACAATGTGCAGATACATGGTTCCCCACCACTATACAACTAACCACTGCAAATGTATACACCCAAACTACAGCAAGGTACGTCTGCGCACACAGGACTCCGAACCCCACCGACACGAGTGGGAGGAATGGCGCACACCCCCAACTACTTAGTTCCAGAGACACCTGACAGGGACCGTTATGCGAGACATGGAATACCCCCGTAGCAACCCCCCCCCAGCATAACCTGTTGACTGAAACATAACAGCCTCACACTGGATTGACCATGCAAACGTATGGAATAGCCCCAGAGGGGCAGCTGACTTAACGACATAGAACCTACCAATAACCCGTTACGCCAAGCAGGACACCCGTACCCTATCCCACACCCAAATACAACGTGTCCTTACAGAACGTTGGTTGAGGATGCCTAGCTACCGGCAGCAGATTAGAAATCAGGTGGGAAATGGACATCTCATTGAGTACGCCACACACGGTATCACGAATACTAGATACTGAGTTCCTGCAATTCTGCAGGCAAACACACTGAACACCGTTAGTTCTACCACCCCAGACTAGACCTGTGTAGACTCAGACCACTGGGGGTCTCATTTCCGTGGATGCCCTAGCCCAACTAGGAGGCGGTACAGTCTTGAACTCCACCCAGTTACACAGGAACCCCTCACATTGGGGGAAATTTCTCCACAGAGGCCACCCTAACGTGACCTGACCACCGGAGGCCTCCCGGGCCAGACCAGCACAGGGGACGCGGCACATACCACACACTTTCTGGTCATAAGACCCCAGACACTTGGGTGTCAAACCCCTCTTCTTACCTTACCTTAATCACACACCCCCAGCCGCTCTCGAGGTGCGCGTGGGCATCTAGAAATAGGACACACGAGCCCGATCACCGTAGGATCTGTACGCACAACCACACTTACACAATGGCTTATACGGCCGCACCCCTTTGCATCCTAACACAGAATTGTCGAGGCCTGAACATGCCTGAAAAACACTTACATCTCCTACAGGAACTTAAAAGTAAACAGGTCACGATAGCACTGCTACAGGAAACACACCTCAAACCGACAGATACACACAGATTAAAAGATAGACACTACCCAACCAACTGCCATAGCACCCACCCTACTGCGCAAAAGACAGGGGTAGCGATACTTATAGCCGCTAACACCCAATTCACCCAGACCGACCAACTCGCAGACCTGAGGGCACGGTATCTCGGAAAACCATTCACCACAATCTATGACATTCACCACATTTGTTTTTACGCAAGACGATTCGCCAAGTGACGTTTATCATAGGAGGGGACTTCAACACACCACTTGACCCAATAATCGACTCATCGACCGGGCACAGCAGTATATCACAAATCACGATCAGGGCGATAAGGAAGACCCTGCGAGACCTGAGATTAGTAGATGCATGGAGGTCCTTACACCCGACAGACCGGGATTATACGCACTACTCAGCTATACACAGGAGATACTCATGTATTGACTACATCCTCATACAACAAGAAGGCCTGCAACGATTGCAGTCGGCGGAGATCCTACCGACACCGTGGTCAGACCAGAGCGCAGTGTCCATACGCCTGGATTCCCCTCTGTTCAGACCCACAAGGACGGCGTGGAGATTGAACGAGTCGCTCCTATCAGATCCAGAAGTGAAGACACAATTGACAGAACATCTGAACAACTACTTTACTGAGAACAACACGGAAGACGTATCTAAAGTGACGCTTTCAGAAGCCCACAAGAGTGTGCTCCGGGGACACTTCATAAGGATTGCATCTCACAAAAAAAGGAAGCACAGCAACACATGATGGAACTCACCGACCAGATAAAAAAAAACTAGAAACACAGCATAAGCGGACGCAACTAGAGGAGCAATATCGCTCTCTATTAGAAGCCCGTCGGCAGCTAGCAGAACTGGTAGCCCTCAAACACCACAGAGCGACACAGAGGTCCAAAGCCTTTTTCTACATCCATGCCAATAAAAGCGGGAGGCTACTGGCCTGTATGATCCGAAACCAACAGACCAGAGTTAGTGCATGCACTGCGAACAACCAAGGGCACCCTCACACAATTCCCGGAGGAGATAGCCAACAAATTTCGCGCGTATTACCAACAATTGTATAATACCGCACCAACGACTTCCGACACTCAACACGCCAAACTGATAGAGGCTACAACTCAATACTTACAAAGATTCCGACCGGACGCTCTAACACCGGAGGAGGCAGACCTACTTGAAGCCCCAATAACTACTGAAGAAATACGAAAAGGGGGAAAGCGCCGGGCCCAGATGGACTCTCGGCGGGATATTATAAGTTATTTGGAGAAATTCTGAACCCACACCTAACGGCTGCCCTCAACCAACTCCAGAAGGGGGACGAATTCCACAAGGAAACTCTGGCAGCCACAATCACTGTGATACCCAAACCTGGTAAAAACCCTGAAAGCTGCAGCAATTATCGGCCAATATCGCTCCTTAACGCAGATGTGAAACTCTTCACCAAAGTCATCGTGACAAGATTACAAAAATACGTGCCACAATTAGTCCACCCCGACCAAACAGGTTTCGTACCAGGCTGAGAAGCCAGGGACTGCATCCTGCGGGCGTTTACCATCCAGGCATTGGCCCTTAAAGAGAAAACAGATCTACTAATGCTCTCCACGGATGCCGAAAAGGCATTTGATCGGGTAACGTGGAGCTTCATGATGGCAACACTGCATAAGGTTGGCCTGGGGAGAGGAATGATTGCCTGGATATAGACGCTTTACACTGCCCCTAGTGCCAGGGTGCGGGTATATGGAGCACTCACAGACAGCTTTACCATCCACAACGGCATCAGGCAGTGCTGCCCGCTGTCGCGACTCCTGTTCGCCCTTACACTGGAACCGTTCCTGGACAGAATTCGGCAAACACCGGAGATCCGAGGGGTTTAGACACAAGGACCAGGAACATAAGGTAGCTGCATATGCAGACGATATGCTCTTTTTCGTAGAAAGTCCCCTAAGCTCAATGCCGGCACTGATGGAGGATTTCGACACCTATGGATGAATATCGAGGCTGAAGCTAAACCAAACTAAATGCGAACTCCTGAACGTGGCAACACCAATGGCAGTGAGAGACCAGATCAAGCGCAGATACCCCTTCCACTGGTGCACAGAATAGATGAGCTATCTGGGTATTTGGATCCCCAGCAACCCGAAAGAGCTATACACCAGGAATTACACTCCCCTGCTACGCACGATACTGCTGGATCTGAAAAACTGGACCTATGACCACATATCGTGGCATACAGCGTCCGCAAACAAACTATGGGCAGCCCTAGACAGAGAGAGCACGAACAAGGCCCTCTGCATGTATATCTGGCAAGGCTCGGCCGACGCGGCACAAAAATTGGGTAACGAATCACCCATTGTACAGACGCTAAAGACGTGGACATACCTGAGAAGGAACCAACATATTTCGCCCCAACCGAGTCCCCTGATTCCGATAACATACAACAGTGAGTTAGCTGGGGGACTACACCTATCCGCCTGGCCATTAGAAGGAGACGGAGACTACATACCGCTGACCGAGGCCCTGAGCATTACAGGACTGAGACGGCTACGAGAATGGAGCACAGCAACACAGCAGACGTTGATGCACAGATTTCACTACACACAACTGAGGCACTTTTAATACAACCTGCCCAACAGGGAAGCGGTACACAGGGAGAAGACGTCGTTCAAACACCTATGTGTGACCAACACCGACGCGGAAGGCAGAGTATCATTCATCTATCAACAGCTGATCACAGAAGACCATACGAGGAAAAATGCGTTTAAGAGGGAATGGGAAGAGCTGACAGATAGGACATACACAGAAGCACAATGGGAACAGATATTAATCCTACAGCACAAAAGCTCCATAAGTACAAGGTATCAAGAGGTCAACTTCAAGCTGATTTCTCAATGGTACAGGACTCCCTCTCCACTACACAGAATATTTAGGGGAGCCACAGATACATACTGGAGATGCGAAACCCAAACCGGCACCCTACGGCACATCTGGTGGGACTGCACGCTGATTAAGCCATACTGGGAAGACATAAAAAGGGAAGTGACGACAATCTTGGGAGAAATACCAGAATTTAACATAGAAATGGCTCTTCTACACTACACTGAAAACTCGATAGCCCAATACAAACGATCGATACTAAGACACCTGCTTAACGCAGTAAAGGCATCAATACCAGCCAGATGGAAACAAACCCAACCACCCACCATCGCAGAATGGCTACAGAGAGTTGAGGAGATACACACAGCAGAGGCGCGAAATGCAGAACTACTAGGGAGAGGCACCAAGCATGTCGACATCTGGACCCCATGGTATGTCTATCCCTCACAACACAAAACTTAAGAAGCACACGCACACAACACTGCACCTAGGGAATCGGGATGCCCGAGCGCGCCTTGACACATGTCATCCTCACCCCCTCCCCCCTTTCCTGACACCCCCTCTTCACCTCTCCTTTTCTTCACATCACTTTCCGAGGGATTCCGCAAACAACAGTATAACTTACGTCCGGGAAGGTCGGAGCCGGGAGGAACCGAATACTCTGATATACAATATCTAGACATGACACGAAGCAATTTGGACATGCTACATCGCCATAGGCAAAGGCCGAAAGGACAGGAACAGGCTTACAGAGACCCAGTCTCCAAGACATAACACACACATAGACTGATGAGAGGATAGGAGATAGGCCGCCACTCTATGGCAAATAAGGGTGACTAGATGCGAATGCAACTCACATATGAACAACGAGATACACAAAAACAAGGTCAGGCTCACCAGAAGACAAAAGATAGGAACACAGGCATGACAAAAAACAGAAAGAGGCTTATTTTGCATACTAGAAGGACGCATAGTCTGCTTAGTGAACTTAAACACGAATATTTAGATGAAATAGCTAAGAACGTAACATAATGCATCAAACAGCCAATTAATCACACTTCTCAGAGTCTCATTGACTGCTAGATGAAAGCGGACCTGCCCAATAAAGACTAGTGGACAAATTGGGAATGCTGACACGCTGCAGCTAGTGGCCCCCCTAGACGAGACCACACACGATCTGACACATTGACGGGAGGTACAGAGCTCACACATCCCAAACCGGACCATCAACGAATACACACAAGACGCACAGACCCTAACCGCATCAAGATTAACTTTGCCCAGGTTGACCAAAGTAAGAAGAGCAACACAAAGCTTTAATGCAATCATTTCAGGAACACCGAATTTGCCTCAGCGGCCGACTCAGTACAGATATACGAATCGGGTGAACCCCAAAAACAGACAGCACTATGTGCAAGATTGCACAGCCACCCTTACTGTCAATTGTCAACTCCAACTCACCCCTAGTCGCACACCACAATTTTTGTGAAACTTCATGTAACTATGAAAGCCACTACAGATGAAAGAGCTATGATGTAAAATTGTATAATTGAAATTGAACTTGTTTAACGGTAATTATTGCTCCTAACCTTCCCTACCCCTCTTTATTTCTGTACCCGACTTGAACTTGAAATAAAAATTGTCAAATTTAAAAAACAAAAAAACAAATGGAGATTTGGTGTCAGATATTACTGTAGGTGAAAGTTTAGGATCCAGTGATCATTAGTCAGTGTGGTTTAATATAAGAACAGTGACTGAGTCACACCACACAAAAACAAAGGTTTTAGACTTTTGAAAAACAGACTTTTCTAAAATTAGATTATGTGTAAAGGAGTCATTATCAGACTGGAGCAGTTTAAATGGAGTCCAAGAGAAATGGGATTATTTAAAAGTTGCACTGCTGAAGGCAAGATAAAATTGCATTAGGCTTGTCAGTAAAAGCAAAAAAAATAATAAGAAACCACTGTGGTACTCTGCAGATGTGGCCAAAATTGTACAAAATAAAAATTTAGCATTTAGTAATGATACATAATAATGATGCATAAATGAGAAAAGGAAAGTAAAACCAGGGTTAGTTAGATTAAAAACAAAAGAAGGAAGGTATGTAGAAGAGGATAAAAGTCTAGCTGACTGCCTCAATTAATATTTTTGTTCAATATTTACAGATGAAAATGAAGGAAATGGGGGGAAAAGGACAAATCATTCGTTACATGTAAGTTTACAGAGGAAGAGGTTCTATTTCAAAGTAAAGACGAATAAGTCAATGGGGCCTGATGGAATACACCCAAAGTTATTAAAAGAGCTTAGTGTTGTACTAGCAAAACCATTACCGGATTTATTTAACCAATCATTGTTAACAGGAGTAGTCCCAGAAGACTGGAAGTTATGTATTACATAGTTACATTGCTGAAAAGAGACTTGGGTCCATCAAGTTCAGCCTTCCTCACATATGTTTTTGCTGTTGATCCAAAAGAAGGCAAAACACCCAGTCAGAAGCAATTCTAACTTTGCAACAAACTAGGAAAAAATTCCTTCTTGACCCCAAAATGGCAGTCAGATATCTCCTTGGATCAAGCAGCTATTACCCCATTAATTATAAATTATATCCCTGTATGTTATGTTTTTGCAAGTATTTATCCAATTGCTCTTTAACCCCTTAAGGATGGTGGGCATGCTATGCTGTCCTTGGGGACCCGGCTCTAAACACCGGTAAGCGGCATAGCGCGTCCCCGCCGTCCTTTGTACTTACCCGCTCTCCGGCGATCGCGAAAGGGGAACTTACCTGCCATGCCATCGCAAGGTCCTTGTGAGGACCTCACAATCACATGCATGCCGTCCATAGCAGTACCAGCAGGGGGAGTGCCTGTAATAACT